GATAGTGTCTTCCATATCATTATTAACGATCTTCAGGTCGAATAAATGTCGGAAGTGCTGTTCCAAAAGTTGACTTTCACGGGCCAATCTTTCAAGACTTCCGTCCTGCAATGAACAAAGCGAAACGAAGCTGAGTATATGAAAGGCCTAGGGGCAGTAGCCGCAGATAATGACTGTATTATTGATGCTTTAACTGAGATACTTTCAAAAAGATGCACATGCTTTAAAAAACTGCGACCCCCGTGTCGCTATTGGTACAGAAATTCCACACCCGATCATAAATCACGCAGAATACAAAACTAAATTAACGTAATCTGGCGAGTACTTAAAAGGAAAACTGAGCAAACACTGCAAATTCGTGATCAAAAATCAAAGCTAGTCGTATTACTGTTCGGGATTACTATAAAATTATATCTTGAAAGGAGAAAATGACTGGAACAGTGGAACAAAATGTTTACTGACATGACGTTCGAATTCTCACTTGAACCCACTATCAGAAACAGTCGCAGATGTGTCTGTATAAAATATGCAGTTAAAGGGCAATACATGAATTCTAAAGAAAATTAAAATCAAATTGCAGTTGTACTGTTTGCGTACACAGAAATCTTGAAAGTATAATGATATTAGGTTAACATGGCACACGTAATCTAGACACTTTAATTGTGTGCAGTGGAGCAACATGTGGTGCACGTAATCTGTGGGCTACTCACCTAGATGCCTGATATATATGCACATAGGTCAGTTCATGGATACTTGGACTAGTGCCGATCTATTATTTGATTGAAAAAGATACGACGAGAGAATTTCTCACATTGAAACAGCTGATGCATTTTAGAAGGATGAGAATTTAATCAAAAGGTATTTAGAAATCTACACGATGTGTTTTTAAAACAAACACCCTCCCTCCGTTGCACAAAGATGTAGATTTTCAAATAAGATTACCACGTCTAAATAAAAAATATACAGATATTTTGATGTAAGGTGTCCATATAAACTACACGTGACTTAAAAGTAATAAAAAGTCAAAGATCTAAACAAATGCCTAAAACATATGTGGAGATAATTACTGAAGCAAAATTTCGGGAGTTGTCTGGAGAAACTGAACACGCAACTCCGGTTTATGTCAACATTTGGATAAGAAATCCAGCTTGTTAGCAAATATGTTTAGCCTACTCCTTAATTACCCGAGTGACCTGCAAAATATTTCGTCATGTTAATTCATATTATTTTTTATAATTTAAGCGTCAAGTGCCTAGTTATTAAAGGATATAAACTTTAGCAACTGGCCAGAAAAAACTCCAGGTAAGAAATTCACTATGTCAGTAGGTGGCGATGAATATTATCGAACTAAAAATTGAGAAGGATTCAAAATACATGCTTTTCCGTTAGAAAAGTCCACAACACAGTTGCTTTTAGACTTCTATCCTCCTGGATCCAGACTGATTAGCTTTATAGCAGGGCGTTTATTTCATAATGGTTCGTCTTAAATTAGAATCCATTTCTCGTCTCGCATAGTCATAAATGTTTAAATTAGCAGAATCCTTGTCCTTTGATGATGTAGTGTTCTGCGAAGACTTCAAAAACTTTTCTCTATTGCATAAGCCAAAAAGCTTACAAACGTCTAATATAGTAACGTTGATGAGCATTATTATGAATACTCCTGTTTTGCTAGTAGCAGTCTACCGTATGGCAAGGAAAAAGATCTTTCTTTTACCAGAAATTCCTATATCGGGGGTAAGCCACATTAATGTTAAAAAGTACATCAGAGAAAAATAATGCTTACGTTTGGACAATTAATATCTGTCATCAAGGTGTTGAGATCAGGAGAAGCGATAAAGACAACCCATGGGGCAAATTCTGCCGTCCTTAGCAGCTTAAGTGCTTGCGGTTCCACATCAAGAATGGCAATAAGACCCGCGGCGTGAATTTGCCGAATGGTGTCAAGCTTGGTACCGTACATGGCTTGTTCATGAGTGCCATATTCCAAGTACTCATTATTGGCGATATCGCGCATCATTTCCTCCTGAGAAACAAAGTTGTAATTTTTGCCGTTCACCTCATCCTTTCTTTGGGGTCGAGTAGTGTCTATATAAAAACAAACGTTGGATCCACGTTTGGAAATATAACGGATAGAATAACGAAAAGAATGCATCAGCCATATTAGAATGTAATGTGTTCGGCAGAGGACTTATGTCAAAGCTTCTCTTTAAATTTTATTACTGCTAATGTACGGTTATTAAACGCTTATTTACTTAGTTGGACGTAAAGAGTCGAAGTCTAAAGCACACTGCAGGCCTAAAATTTCATCTTCTAATAAGATTCATTATAAAGACTTAAATACGCGGAGAATCCACATGGCAGGTACGTTGTACTAAACTGCGTGGCATAAAGCTTGTTCTTTCATCAAAAACCGCATTAAACGCCCTCTCAAAGTAAGTCCAGTCTCAATCCTAAAAGACTAACGCAGCAGTGTTAACCTGCGAAAGTTTACTACATGACTATTCATTCAGGTGTTTTAATCAACCGGTATAGAAGGCGAAATCTAGCCAATCGTGGTATGGACAATGGTAGTCGATCGAGAGCAATGGATCACTTGAGTCTGTCTTCCTCGATAGTTCCTGAAAGCAGTCAAATCAGAGTAATTTCAGGTTAGTAGCACTTGCCACAATGAACATTTCCGTTTCATAAAAATTTATTGGCTTGGAAGGTTTGGAGAGAGAAGGAAAATATTTAGTTTAAAAAGTTGGCAGCGACAAAGACGTGCACTATTATCGTAGAATAAAAACGTCCTTACAGAAGCAAGAGAAACTAACTGCAGATTATGTTTTTAGCAAAAAAACCACCATTATGTTAAACAAGCATCTGAGATCAGCAATCGAAAAAGTTCCACAAGCTAATAAACTTGAGTGTAGATAGATGCTGGTCGTCGTCATCTGTACATCGTAAAGACTGTCCAGGAAAAAGTGCGCAGCCTTTAAAATATGTACGTGTAATGTATCGAAGACAAAGGAAAATATGTAAGTTTGATGCGAAACCCACGTGGAATTGGGTAGGCAAAACGCTCAGGAGCTGATTGGATAAGGCTGTTCTTAATGTGACGGCGACCGACACCATGGGCCCCCAGCAGAACAAGTGTGCGTCGACAGA